TGGTGATGTACAGTATTTAGTATGCCATGGGTTTTGGTTTTGTTTTCTTTTTCCCTCTAGTTGGTTATCCTAAAGAAGAAAGATTTGCTGGGAGACCAACAGAGAGAACCAGTGGGCTGTATGATTTGCTGAAATCAAAATGTTCAATGGGCTTTCATGCAGGATGGGAGCAACCTCATTGGTTCTACAAACCTGGAGATGAGACTGGATACAAGTAAATAAAAATTACCACCCCCACCTCTACCCGTCCCCCCCATAAATAGTCATGACAGTAAGGGCCAGCTGAGTTAATTTTAATAGAAAGCATACATTTATCATTCATTTTGGCAAAAGGTATCTGTTAGGTAGATCTTCCATTATTGTTTTTTTCTAGAGTTTAGAATCCATTTAGTTCTAATAATACAGATATTTCTAAACACACATCAAGGTATCCTGTAACTCTTCTAGGCATGGGGTATCAGGGAACAGCCTAGGTCAAGGAAAAGATTAGAGAACAATTTGTTCATTAAAAAACTTGTATTTTTCTCCCTTTTTTATTATTAGATCGGCAGCACAGTATAATGTTTTCATGAGAAAGCTGTTTCCTCTCTGTATAATTCTTGGGAAAGGAGAAGCCCAATCCTCCTTTCTTTTCTTTTTCTGTGCCTGCCTACCTAGTTACCTGCTTACATCAGGGAACATCCAGCAAGTGTTTTCCACAGGAATACTGGAGTCCCACTCTAAATGCGACTCATAAAGCAATAAAGAGACACACTCTGCTGTTCAGAAATAAAGCCTTTGACACCTTAAACTCAAATAAATGATTCAGCAACAAAGTATGCTGTAAATTTACACACGACAGACTACTACTTCTAACATTTGAACAGTTCACAGTTTATTGTACAAAATGGTTGATAAAATATCAACACATATCTTTCTTTATTGTTAAAGAATTTCAATAATTATGCTATGTTAGACCAAAGAAAATATTGGGTAAGCTACCTACAATTAGGAAAGTCTCTTCTGAATGATTATTAAACTGAAGACTACGTTTTGCTGAAAAGAGCACAAAATTTCCAAATTGTGTTTTATGTGTGTAAATACTCTGTTTCAGACCCAGTTTTCGGCGCACAAATTGGTTTGACCCTGTGGGTCGTGAGTATAAACAGGTTATGGAAAAAGTCGGTGTGATTGACCTGTCACCATTTGGCAAGTTTAAAGTAAAAGGCAGAGATTCTGTTAAGCTGCTGGATCATCTATTTGCAAATGTTGTTCCAAAGGTAAATGGGACAGTGATAACTGTTTAATGTAGGAATTATACAGACAAGATCTGTTTCAGAAATGGAAAATGAAGCATAATTTTATTACCATATCTTTCAGATACCAAACGCTCAGATCCTTCGGAGAAATTACTGCATCAGATATATTTAATTGATTTAAGAGCAGAGATAGTGAAGTTTATACTAGAGTAGCCTCACATACCTTTTGGCACAATTCATTGAATCATAGAGTGGTTGAGGTTGGAAGGGACGTCTGAAATTCACCTTGTCCAATCCCCTGATCAAGCAGGTCACCTGGATCTCATTGCCCAGGACTGTGTCCACATGGCTTTTAAATATCTGCAAGGATGGAAACTCCACCAGCTCTCTGGGTAACCTGTTCCTGTGCTCAGCCACCTTTACAGTAAAAAAGTGTTTCCTTGAAACAAAGAACCTTCTGTGTTTCAAATCTTTGTTTAAAGAAGTCCAAGTGAATCTCACTTGAAATTCTTTTACAGTAGTACTAGAATAGCTTGGCAGCTGCCTGCCTGGAACTGCACTGTACAGTGGCAGCTTCAGGCAGCAGAGTAGAGCAGTGGAAGGTGCTCTTGCCTGCCTCATAGCTGGATGTTGTATTCTTCCTGGATGCCCAAGGGAACACTTTTGTTGGGTTTTTTTAAAATGTGACCCATGCTTTTTTTCCACTCCCCTCATACAGACTCTGTTTTACAGCTGGGTGCCTGAACCAGGCAAGGTTGCAAATATTCAGGATATTCAGCTTTCAGCTCACACCTGACCTTGCTCCACAAGTGTGGCTGTTCACAGATCCACAAAATATGATCCTGTTTTCAAAAATGGCACACTGTGACAGGTTTCTTGTTCTTAGTCCTCAGTTTATGGTAGAGCTCCATGAGTCCCTTTATCTTCCCACTTTGTCAACCACTCTCACCTAGTGTTTTTAATTTCAGAGATACACCTCCAGCAAGCAGATTGGTCCTTTCTGAAAAGCTGCAGCCATGGGGTTTGCTCATTTCAGCACAGAATTTTATTAAGTTTTTGCTGTAGGTGATGGTTTTAGCTGCTTCAGACGCCAGAGGGAGGAAGCACAGGGAAACAGTAGGTACACCAAGATTATAGTTATGAAAGCAGATAACTTCTTCTCAGAGGCCAGAGCCAACTGAATGGGAAGGCTGTACACAAGAGTGGCATCTCATAGTTTTAGGAGAAAGAAAAACCTGAATTGCCATGTAGTTGTATCTTTTTACTGTATTAATTTAGTGATAGCAATATAGATTAAAAATTTGTCATCCTTCTAGCTTGGGTTAGAGGTGGGATAGCTTGTCAGTGGGCATGAATAACACTTGCTGAATATATTTATGTGGTGGGGAGAAAGCAAGATTAAACAGGAAACTGTGAGAACAAAGCAAGTGCTTTCTATGGAGTTTAATCAGTGTTGCTAAGGGGAAAAGGAATGATAGATGGCAAAATAGAATAAACAGTTTATGAGTCCACTTAAAAATCCAGCATTCACAACAGCTGATTATTTAAGCTCTCTGATTTTTAGTACTATTCATGCTTGCCTGCATCATAAAATAGTTCAGTGAATTTACTGGAGATACACTTGTATCACAACCAGGTTGAGTGTGACTGCCATCAGATCCTGAAAATTCAACTATGTGCCTGTAATATGCCAGTAACTACATTAATGTAATATGACCTTCCAAAGAACATTAATATCTGCAATATTTTTCCTTTCTTCATTTATTATCTGGAATCTGGACACGGTTCTTATGAAAGCAAAATGAAATAAGAGAAATTAAATTCTGCCTCTGGAACCAGACCCACACAACAGCTGTTGCACATTAATTTTTCTGTTTGTATGTATGATATCTGTATGAACATGTATACATTTTATGGTCACAGCTGAGTAACTGTTATTTGAAATTTTGCATCTAGAGAGCAAAATTCTACACAGAACCTGATGAAAATGTACAGAAATATAGATTCATAGTCAGCAGCTACATCAAACATAAAAACATACATAAATCAGGGCCAGCTCAGTATTTCTTTCTTTAAAGTAGGGGGCAAAGTAATGTTGTCCTTTTGGGATCTGAAAGCCTTATTCCCATGACTGAAAAAGAATATTTATGTCAATAACACATAGAATTTTTATTCTCATTATCAGACAACAGACAAAAATTGACTGAATTTACATTGATAATTCATTCTTAAATCAAATGTAGCTTAAGAATACCTTGTGTAACACACACAATTAACAAATATTTATAAAGATTGTGATTTATTTAATTTCAAAAACTTATATTTTTTCTGTGAAGAAAAATGTGAAATTTCTACTGTAAGGCTTAAGCTTGGACAATTGTATATCTGTCTGCTCCTATTATGGCATAGCAGAACAAACATGAAACATTGTTCTTTCAGGTAAAGACATATTTCCATATATTTCATAGTGTTTAAGAATTCAAAGGTTTTATTTTGCATTCTTAATAATTGCAAATTTTACTCTGTAGGTGGGTTCCACAAATATAAGCCATATGTTAACACCGAGAGGAAAAGTTTATGCCGAGCTAACAGTCTCTCAACTCTGTCCTGGAGAATTCATGCTTGTAACTGGCTCGGGATCAGAACTCCATGATCTCAGGTTAGTTTATTTTTGATACAGTAAGTACACAGTGCTATGCAGTCATATTAATATAGAAATATTTTTTACGAAGTGCCAAATTATTAATTATTACTCAAAAAACCTTTTGCTAGATTCAAGAGAATCCTACTTATTTAATGTTTTTGGTTTCTTAGAAACTTGGATGAGTTGAATCCTGAAGTTTAAGCAGTTGCATATTGGATTATTGTTGGTGTAAAAAGAAGGAGAATTTACAGATAGTTATGTAATACAGTTTAATGGAAGTAGTTTTTGTTTTCTTGTTGAACCTGTTTGTGTTTGGCAGTGTATCATGGAACACAGCACAGTTGTTCCTTTCTAGTGTTTTCTCTTACGCAAAAAAGAAAATTGGCTTCAAATTATGCATGACCCCACAGACACCGACCTGGCCAATGCAGATGTGTAGTGCAGTTCTTCCTGATACTTTGGTAATGTCTTCTAGTTTGTGCTTTAGGGCCACAAAGCAGAACAGAAAGAAAGGAGGTAGAAGGAGTCAGTTGCAGGATGGCTTAATTAAAATACTTCTTATAGATGAGCATTGGAAGTGACATTTCTAGTGCTATAAGTGGCACTAGAAGTTTTCTTACTGGAGATTGCTGACAAATCAGTTATTCAAAATTAATCAACAAATAAAAGACTGAAATTTGCTATCCCAGTGCATGGTGAATAGTGTACTGTTTTGTGATAGTCACATAGGAATCAGTAGGAGCATTGATACATTCAAGAACCAAATGGCAGAAACAGGCCTAATGCATTTACTTCTAGAGGATTTTAGCAGTCCTGTTTGGTACTCCCCTGTGCCTGAGATCTTTTAACACTGCTTATCAAAGTAGTACTTTGTAAGATCTTTAAATATACTCCTTTCTTTTATTTTGTGAGCTTCCTGAAAGACAATACCCATCTGATGGTTTCAATTAAATCAAAAGTCAAAACTGAACTTCCTGCCAATACTTTCAATACTGTAGTTAGGAAGGAATGAGCCTGGTTGTACCTTTCTGTTGACAGAAGAAGTTATTTTGAGATTTCTTATGTTAATTCTGTTTATTTGTTGCTCTTGTTGTATTTTTTTATTAACACATTCTGGATCCAGAGGCAAATATGTGTTCAGTTCTATGAAATCACTTCTTTCTCTTATCTTGAAAATACTGTTCCACCCATTTGCATTGTCTTCTTTCCTGCCTGTATCCCCGATGCCCGTGTTCTTGTACCAATATTTCACCAGAAAACACTGTTTAACATCAATGACGGATTTGAGTATCTAGTGTAACCCATACTTCCATTGGTTTTAAGATGGTGTGGGACAGGGAGCTGCTGGGATGATGAATACTAACAAAAAATTATTCCTTTTTATTCAGGTATTTTTAATAAAAAAATTAACATTGCTGTTGTATTTTACATGCAGATGGATAGAAGAGGAAGTAACAAGAGGTGGATATAAAGTTGGAATAGAAAACATGACAGATGAGATGGGAGTACTTGGTGTAGCAGGTCCATATGCTCGACAGATCCTCCAAAAGTTGACAAGTGAGGATCTGAGTGACGGTTCATTTAAGTTTCTCCAGTCTAGACATTTGAAACTTTCTGATATTGATGTTACTGCCATTAGGATATCATACACAGGTAAGCAATAGAGAAAACAAACTCTTAAGGCGAGAGGCAATAAATAAAGTAATAAGTGTAACTAAAATTATGTTGAAAAATAAATTTCATCATGTACTCATAAGCAAAAGGTTGATCACATTTATATATAAGTGTGTGAGGAAATGCAATACATTGATTTTCAAGTGTGATCTGGTCAGGGTCTGTGCTGAGTTTTCCAAGACCTTTTTCTCTAGAATACCCTACACTGTAAATATTTATTTTACAGAACAAAAGGCCAGTTCTGATAACCTTTGTGGTATTTGTTGTAAAGCCCAAGTCAAGAATTGTTTTTGGATTACCATATACTAATGTTTGTCAAGTGCAATGCTGAGTATTTGTTTTTCTCAATTACTTTATATTTTTATTTATTTTTATGTCTGTTTCTACTGCAATAGACTTCATGACCATTCTGAAGCAGCTGAAGTCCTTCTCTTTCTGTTGTACTAAATATGACACAATATACTCGATTTATGCTTATTTATACTCAGTTACCTTTGCTGTTCAATTGCCATATTATCATCTGTTTAAAATGCCCTTAAGCTTCATCTCTCATTGTGACTTTGCTACATGACCTTTTCTTATCAGTTATTCTGATTCCCCCACCCAGCCCCTGCCCCTGATTTAATTTAACAGTTTAAATTAGAATAATAGTACCACTGCTTGAGATATGGGGTATAAATAATCTAGTGGTTCTTGCAGAGAATTAGACTTGATATGTGATAGCAGAATTGACCCTAGAACGTGAATTAACTCTTACAGCATTGATCCCCACTTTTTACCAAGAACAGGAGTGTATGTTAGGATTGTTTCATTGTTGAGCTGATGAAACCATTGATCTTGTTTGTATAACAGGTGAACTGGGCTGGGAGCTCTATCATAGAAAAGAAGATTCTGTAGCTCTTTACAATGCAGTCATGGAAGCTGGCCAAAAAGAAGGAATTGACAACTTTGGAACATATGCTCTGAATGCTTTAAGGCTGGAAAAGAGTTTCAGAGCCTGGGGAGCAGAGGTCAGGAAATATAACTTCTTTATTATTCTTTTTGTTTATTTTCTGTATTTCATTATAACTATACAGCTTTTAGTCAGACCTAGCTCAGATAGTATTTGTTCCACTTTCTCAATTAAGCACGAAAAGAAAATTTACCTTGAGAAGGAAAAGCTGCTATAATTCTGAAGTGTCTTTTCTAAATAAAAAGAAGTTGTATACTCCATTGCACTGCTGGCAAAGAGACACTTATTTTGATTCACTGGTGTTTTCCCCTCTTGCATATAACAGAATTATGAGGGTTTTGCTGAGCTCTACTGTTTTGAAATCAAATGTTTGGCTCGTAGATTCTGAAAATGTTTTATTTCTGTAATAAGTATGTCATGAGAGGCCAATTATTCTTGCTTCATAATGTATATGAAACTCTCTCATTTCCTATTAGCTTGTTTCTGCTGAATTTGCTCACTCACAATACAGAACTACTCAGGAGGCCTAGAGAATTTGTGGAAAATCAGTATAATTTCCACTTACTTGAAATTTTTCCTAATTCCTTTGGAAAGGAAAGACCTCAGGAAGGTGAAATGGTGGGCATTTAGGGATCCTTTTCGTTTGCCCAGTGAGAATTATTTTCATTCTTGTTGCAAATGCTGCCTAACAAACCATTCCCCCTATACCTAATGGGAAGGTGATAAATAAAATTGGCTTTGTGTTTTATTTTCCTCTCCAGCTAAGGCATTCTGCTGTGTTGCAATTAATGTGCATACCTCAGTTATTCGGTCTTCTGCAGGTTCTATTCTGCTTTGATGAAAAGTCTTGTTTCTTATAAAATGTGTATTTCCTTTCATATTGAAACTTAGATTAATGATTTACATATCTATACTTATATTAGGCATAATAGTAGATATGCTGTTGAAATCACATATAGGAAGCATATAGTGTATTTAAGTGGAAGTTGCATATATGCAACGTGAAAGACATAGGAGTAAATAGAGGGCTGCATGGAATAACTAAATAAATAACCCTCAGCCCAAAAGCTGATAGTCCATCATGGACTGATGGTGAATTTTTTTTTTTTTTTTAACAGATGAACTGTGACACTAATCCATTGGAAGCTGGACTGGAATACTTTGTAAAGCTAGACAAGGTATGTCTTATTTTTTTTTTTTTTCCTCAAAGTGTTCTGTTATACCCAGTGTTATTCCTATAAATGTTTGAAAAGAAAAACGTAATTCTCTGTAAAAATAAAATAGGTTTAGAAAATGAACAGAGCAACTTTTTTTTCCACTGTGTATAAGAAAAACTACTTTATTAAGTACGATTTGTTTAAAAAAAGCCCATTTCATACTTTTCCATGTTTCTTGCTAACAAAATTATGCCTTGCATTAGGGATTTGCAAATACTCATTGTTGTCTACATGAAAAATAACTCTGTGATTTATTTTCATAGAGAACTTTGAGTCATGTGTTTTTGTAAACATATAGTGTCTATATACAAGCTGGACAAGCCTATTCATATTGTGAAAACATTTTACCTGCTTTTTCTTGTTAAAGGAGTTGTCTGTAGAATCATTTTCCCTGGCTACCACTCTGGCACAGCAATTACTGAAAAAAAAATAGATTTTTCAGAAGAATTCCTGACTGACAACTTGGGTATCAATCAAATATAAGTTAAATTAATATTTTGGTTAAAAAAAACAAAATAACAATTGTTCATAGAATTTCAAAAAATGTCCTCTGCTCATGACTTGTTCCTGCCTGATTTGAAATTTAAAGAAACGGAGCAGTTCAATTTAAAGATGCAGTAAAAATGAAAATATGTTATTCTATATAATTTCTATATTTTATACCCGTTTTCATATATTCATATAAGACCTCAGCATTCCTTAGAGGCAACCGTGACTGAAGACAAGCAAAATACGCTGTTATCATTTGCTCCTATTGTTCATGATACTTTCCACAAAAAAAGGGCAAAGGGATACAAATTACAGGCAATAAATACTTAAATCTGTTTGACATCTTGGTCTCTAAGGTTACTGACAGGGATTGTTCCTTTAAGCATGCGCCCCCAACTGGGGAAAAATGCTGATTTCTGTGTAAATTAAAATCAAAATGCCCTGTTCAGTTAATTGCTAGAGTGCTTCTTACCATGCAGCTGAAATAGCTCACAAAATGGGCAAAAAGAATTCAGCATAAGTGAATTTTGAGTGGTATGTCGTGGAAAATGTAAACAGTTTATGAACAGATTAAAGTGAATGAAAAACCAAATGCCAGTGAAGGTAATACAATCAAAAAGTATTTTAATTACCATGAGAGGGCAGCCAAATATCCAGGGAAAAAATGTGAAGAGATGTAAATTCCTAATAAAATCCTGATATTTCTCAGTGCTTACAAAGTTTACTGTATGCGTCATCTTCAGGTACATATGGACTGGTAATGTTTTTGTGATGAGTGACATGAGAAACTCTTAAAAGCTTAAGTTGACAATTTTTTTTCCCCCACATCCATTAAATTACAGCATGACAGTGAGTAAACCTGTTTCCTCAGGATTTCTGTGTCAACTTTCATTTTTTCAGTAAGGCTGAAGAGATGGTATTGTTCTAGATGGTTTCCTCTAGACTCTGATTGATACTCCTTTTTTCTCTTAGTTGCTTCCTTGCACAGATGAGTAGGATCGGCTATGATTAAACCAAACTGGAAGAACAGTAACAGAATAAATTTCTAATTTAGAGTATACATTGTCTTCATAACTTCACAGGAAAATCTGTCTGGTTTAGGGGTGGGATTTTTTTTAATACCTGTTGTCTTTCTTTTGGTTGTTCAATTGGTCTTACATTTAGTAAGTTAGATAAGTTGCTAGATAGCCTAATTTACTAACACTCTCATCTCATGAATAAGCACTGTGCTACCAAATATGCAATGGACTCCTTATGGTCTTTGCGGCATGAAATTCATAAAAGATTAAAGAATAAAAAGTTGCAATTATTTTTTCTCCACATCCCAGAATATTGTTTTAGTTCTGCTGCACATTCGAACTTTCTCAGGCATCTTCTTCTTTCTATACTGTCAAAGATACAGTATATCATAGAATCATTGAATGGTTTGAGTTTGAAGGAACCTTAAAGAACATGTAGTTCCAACCCCCCTGCCATGGGCAGGGACACCTTCCACTAGACCAGGTTGCTCAAAGCCTCATCCAACCTGGCCTTGAACACCTCCAGGGATGGGGCATCCACAGCTTCTCTGGGCAACCTGTTCCAGTGTCTCACCACCCTCACAGTGAAAAATTTCATCCTAATATGTAATCTAAATCTGTCCTCTTTCAGCTTATACCATTACCCCTTGTCCTTTTACTACACTCCCTGATAAAGAGTGTTTCCCTGTCTCTCCTGTAGGCCCCCTTTAGGTACTGGAAGGCTGCTATTAAGTCTCCTCAGAGCCTTCTTTTCTCCAGGCTGAACAACCCCAGTTCTCTCAGCCTGTCCTCATATGGGAGGTGCTCCAGCCCTCTGACCATTTTTGTAGCCCCCCTCTGGACTTGCTCCAACAGGTCCATGCCCTTCCTGTGCTGAGGACTCCAGACCTGGATGCAGTACTCCAGGTGGGTTCTCATGAGACCAGAGTACAGGGGGAGAATCGCCTCTCGCCACCTGCTGGCCACACTTCTTTTCATGCAGCCCAGGATGCGGGTGGCTTTCACCACAACTGTTGAGTGCAACCATCCAGCCAATGCCTTATCCATCAAGTGGTCCATCCGTCAAATCCATGTCTCTCCTATTTAGAGACAAGGATGCACAAGTCCAGGTAGATGATGTCAGTTGCGCTTCCCTTATCCACCAATGCTGTGCCCTCATTGTAGAAGGCCACCAAGGCACGATTTCTCTTAGTGAAGCCATGCTGGCTGTCACAAATCACCTCCTTATTTTCCATGTGCCTTACCGTAGTTTCCAGGAATATCTCCATGATTTTGCCAGGCACAGAGGTGAGACTGCCCAGGCTGTAGTTCCTTGTGTCTTCCTTTTTTCCCTTTTTAAAAATGGGGGTAATGTTTCCCCTTTTCCAGTCTGCGGGAACTTCACCAGAGTGCCACAACTTCTCGAATATGATGGATAGTGGTTTGGCAACTTCATCTGCCAGATGGATGTGTCTCACCAGGTCCCACGTACTTGTGCACTTTCAGGTTCCTTAGATGGTCTCAACCTGATCTTCTCCTACAGCTGGCAGTTCTTCATTCTCCCAGTCCCTGCCTTTGCCTTCTTCAGCTTGGGTGGTAATGGCTTGAGAACTTGCCAGTGAAGACTGAGGCAAAGAAGACGTTGAGTACCTCAGCCTTCTCCATATCCTGGGTAACCAGATCTGTTTTCTTCTGGAGAGACCCCATATTTTGCCTAGTCTTCCTTTTTTCACTGATGCTTTTCTTGTTGCCCTTGACATCCCTGACCAGATTTCTGTCAGGGCTTTATCTTTCCTCACCTGATCCCTGGCTGATTGCACAATTTCTCTGTATTTCTCTCAGGCTACCTGGCTTGCTTCCACCCTCCACATGCTTCATTTTTGTGGCTAAGTTTGTCCAGGAGTTCCTTGTTCATC